GATATTTTTCCTAATATCTTTCGTATAATCGAATTTAATAGGAATTGTTTCAAAATATATCGTTTTAATTGATTGATTGATATTTATATGATTTTTCTAAAATATCCCGATTTTTTAAAATATTTGATTGAATCAATTTTAAAATGCGAAAATCCCCCGCAGCGATCGAATCAATTAGACATTAGTTTTAGATTTGATTCGAATTTAATGTTTTAACGTAAAAAAGTTAAATTTGAATTTAATGAAAACTCCATTTATTACATTATTATAGATGTTCGTGACTTGTTCTTAAAGGGATCAGAAGCGAGTGATGCAATTCTTTTTCCATGAAATATTTTTTTGAAATGTTTTATTTTTATATGGAAAAGTAATATGACACAGTGGAAATTCATAACTGAAGTTATTTTATACAAAAAAAATTCAAAAAATTGTATATTTTCGAGAAATGTAAGAGTAATTTGTAAAATTTTAAAGAAATTTGACCGTATTTTGTTTGTTTCTTTCCCTAAATGGGCCTTACTTTCCAATTTATTGATGAAAAAGTATTTTACTAGAGGATGAGCTGCCAAATCGGAGCTTAGATATAATTTCGGTTCTGATGTTTTGTTTTTATTAAAAAGATTTTTTCCATTTACGTTTTTCAATTTACGTTAAATGAGATTGTGGTACCATTATCATAACCAGAACAATTACAGAATGATTGTGAAAAACATCGCCTACTCCATCAATGAAAAACGCTGTCTTGAAAATAGAACCTCGGATTTTTTGCTGTGGGCACTAAAATCGCCATTTTTTATGAGTTTAACGGTGCCAACATAGGGCCGAAAGGATTATAAAGGCCTGACATACAAATTATCCATGAAAATTCATGAGTTGATTAAGACTCGAATTTTGGTGCCAGAACGGCAGACAATGCTTTATCATCTATAAAATGTAATTTACTGTGTCCTTTCATTTCACTGAAAAAATAGTGATTATACCTTAGAGGGATTTTCTATAATTAGTGGCGGTTGGATGATCCCTAGTCTTCGAGCTTTGTCTGTACAATTTAAAATAAAATAAATAAAAATAAAATATTTTATTTTATATATTGATGTAGAAATATAGGTTTTTGAATCAATTTTTACCAAATATTATGTGTTTCATTTGTTTTTATCTTGTTATTTGTTTTTCTTGTGGTTTATGGGAAATGATTGTTTTTTGGGGAAACCAAATAGACAATTGATAGCGCCGCTTACAATGTAAATTAAAAATAAAAATAAATAAATAAAGTTCGGGTTATGTCTACAATTTTTTATTATAGCAATAATCATAAGTCGGTTATTTAATTAATATCGAAGGCTGAATGGCCATGACAGTTAAAGCATCAACCTATCGTCGTGGGGGATCCGACATCGAATCAAAGCGAGCAATTCACAGGAATTTTTTGATGGCCATGTCCTTAATATGTCGGGTCCCGTTTAGGCTTAATAAAAAGCACCCAGAGGGCGGAGAGTTTAAAACAATAAAAAACATTATTTGCTTTATTATAATAGATTAAAATTTAACCGAGTAAAGCTTTATAAGTAATTTATTTAAATAAAAAAAATTTATACATTGATAACTGTTTAATAATTTTATATTTTCTTCTTAGTATTTTAATCGGTTTCAAAACGGGTAATGTAAAAGAAATACTGTATATAACTTTCGCATGTTATTTGCAACTGATTTAATCAGTTAAATCATTATTTCTTTCTTATATCTTTATTTTGAGTTTCATGCAATAGAAGTTGAATGACCAATAAAATGATATCTACGACTTAGCAAAACAGCTAATTCTCATCCAATCTGCATGGTGTTGCTCTTTCTATTAAAGTAAATTATTTAAATTACTAATAATTAAATACAGTAAAGTAAACAAAAATTATAATTTAAATAAATTTGATACCGTAGTTTAGGCGTTTAGACCAGAATAATTGCTTTTGTAGATTAATACGCAGTTTTATTTTGAGTTTGGAGTTCTTAAAAGCTTAATAAGTTTGGAATTCTTTGCATTAACATTAGTATACAACATTTAGTATTACTCTTATCCCACTAACTGAATTGACAAATCGTAATTATATTTTAAATCAGAGGAATAATATTAAAATAGTTGCTTTAATTTAAATTACTGGAGTAATATTGAAAANTTCGCCTACCAGTACTGGGCATTGGCATTTTGAATTTAATAATTCATATATATTTTCTATACAAAGTAATGTGTTTAAGCTTCTAGAATAACGCTTAAAAGAATTGTTAAGTTTCTTTCGTAATACACGTCACTTTTTCTCTCAATTCCTTCATTCCTCCCGTCAAAATGTGTCTCGCCAACTTGTGCCCGGCTGTATCCTAGCTTTGTACATGATTAAAAACACGAATTAACTGAAATAATTATAATTACAAGTTTTTAATATTCTAAAAAGGTAACTTAATGCTGTCAAAATTATTCTTGCAAACGACATTTATTAACTTTCGTTTCGTCAAAAAAAAATGTATTAATGTTTCTCATATACTTGAGGATTATTCAATTAATTTCTATTATGTTGCTACATTATAATTTACTAAATTTGTTAAAATAAAATCCACGATACTAGTGTATTTCCAAATTATCTACTGTACGTTGGAGGAGAGTTCCCCTCCCCAATGATGCCAAGTCTTCAAAAGATGTGTACTTGCCTTCAAGGAAACTTCAGCTGCCAATACAAGCATCACGGCCAAGTTTGATATAGTTTTATTTGTCTTATGCAACAAATATTACAGTTTGTGTTCTCAGTGTGTTTAACTTAACATTAAAACTTACAAATATCATATGTGGTCCTAAACTAAAGTGTTAGTGAACCGTTTAGAAAACAAATAGGCTATATGTTAATAGTTATTAGAATGAGAGCTTACTAAGTTATAAATAAAACAATTTATGGTTGTGAATGCATGCATAAAAATTCAAAAATATGTATTAAGAATAGAAGAAATATTAATCATTCAAAACAGATCAAGCTGAAAAGTTTGAAGAAATTCTAAATATTCTAAAATATGTAAAGTTTTCTGAACCATGTCTGTATTTATACAATCATATTCTGAACAACGATCACTAACGGGAACATAAAAATGGTCGCTGTTTAAAGATTATTTTATATGCATTTCAAAAAGAAAAGTTCCTGAAACACGGAGGCCGTTTAAAGGCTGTCATTATTGGATGTTCGTCTGTACTATAATTTAAAGAAACAAAAATCAAGATTGTAAACTTTTAAATAAAAAACTATAAAGTAGATTGATATAATATGATTATTCTTCGTATTTTACATTCTATTATATTCGTTTTCATTTATAACAATAATAATAAGTATAAAACTCTAATTATTGTTATCTCTTGCAAGAGATTTCACTCATTATCTCTCAGAAGATGTGTTGAGGTAGGTCTTACTTAAGAAATGCAAATTTCCTATTCTTCTACTTTTGGTTTACCTCAAAACAATCACACCAGTGATTGAAAGAAGCTGTCTGGCTGTAAGCATTTTTTGGCTTTTTAGAGTAGGCAAGGTAGCAACAGTTTCGAGGTACAATAATCTTCAAAGATTATTGTACCTCGAAACTGCTCACGCTGCCAAGGATGTTCAAGCGATGTGTGGTCCTGAGCTGTATTATGATGTATATAGGAATTGTGTGCCTAAACATCCTTGACATTTGTGAGGCCCGAGTGATATTCGAGCTCACGTGTTAAAAATATCATAAAGGAGTTAAATCAAGGGATTGGGCCTTGATTCTAACGCTCGTAAAAATTGGAAGAAAAACCTGTATCTCAAGGACAAATATAGACTTTTTCCCTGTTTCCCCTAGTGAAGTTAACTATAGAGACTTCTTCCAGACTTCTGCCAGCCTCTGATAGTATCAATTACCGTCCAGACTTTTTCCATCTAACAACTATAGTCAACTGTCCAGACTTTTCCCTGCCTCCACGAGTAGACATCATCCTGTTTGAACTTCGGGCTATCACACTTCGTCACAACCTCCCACACCATCGAGCATCGACTGACTGCCCCGGGGTCAGCAACTGAACAGTCCAGAGCCACCAGAAGACAAGACACACTAGATTGCAAGACAGTATAAATAAACGGGTTTGTTTGTCACTGTAGCTGTTTGCCTCACTTTCCTTCATCCCTCATACGATAAGTCCTGGCATTTAGATATCACCAATTCGGCGACCTTCACACATTTTATCAGTTTTTTGAAATTATTTTTATAATTTTGAAACCGCTTGGAATGTATATTCAACTCTTTCGTCCGACTTATTTATTTATTCAAAAACCGTATGGCCCAAAAGTCATTTAACCGAAATGCATTTTTAAAATATTCTTAATATATATTTCGGTTAACTGGTTTTTGAGCCATCTTGTATATTCGTTTTTTTCTACATTTTCAAGATATTTTTAAAACTTAGGAATCAAACAGAATTTTTTGTAATTATTCGCAAAATAATCATTATCTCAAGAAGGAATATCGAAAATTAATTATTCATAAGTAAAGTAAGAAGCAAATAATGGAGTGCAGACATAATTCTTAAAAATTATTTTGATATAATAATAATTTACGATGTAAATTATTATTATATCACGAGCAATTTGATCAAGAGCTTCATTTTCACACGAGCAATTTGATCATATACACGAGCAATTTGATCAAGAGCTTCATTTTCAGCAGTGTGAAGTTTTGCAGTAGTTCTTCGCCTACCAGTACTGGGCATTGGCATTTTGAATTTAATAATTCATATATATTTTCTATACAAAGTAATGTGTTTAAGCTTCTAGAATAACGCTTAAAAGAATTGTTAAGTTTCTTTCGTAATACACGTCACTTTTTCTCTCAATTCCTTCATTCCTCCCGTCAAAATGTGTCTCGCCAACTTGTGCCCGGCTGTATCCTAGCTTTGTACATGATTAAAAACACGAATTAACTGAAATAATTATAATTACAAGTTTTTAATATTCTAAAAAGGTAACTTAATGCTGTCAAAATTATTCTTGCAAACGACATTTATTAACTTTCGTTTCGTCAAAAAAAAATGCTTGAGATATTATACATATTCTACTTTAATTGGAACTCCATATTTCGGGCGAATTATCGAAAGACCAACCTGAAGCTTGAGAGGATGCTGAAAAGTAATTAAAATGTTTATTTTAGTTTTATAATTATTAAATTATAATAAACTACTGTTAAAATAATTATTACATTAAATCATTTAATGATATACAATCAATATTAATAAAATATTTTTAAATATTGCATCCGTAATAAATTTTATCAAAAAATAAATGTCCTCAATATTCTTTGCTGCTTGCGCTTAACAAAACCTTTTCATATCTATTGAGAGTGCCAAATGGTTAGGTCGAAGATTCCAGCAACAAAGATCATTCCCTAAAAGATATTTGAGCTGTCCGGGACTTGAATTTGTATCTCTATGGATCAGGCTGGTGCGTTTTGTTCCTAGTCCATCATCTATATAAAATAGCAAATTTTATGAGCGATCGCGCCCACCAAAAATTTATTTTGCATAAGCATTTGGAATTTTACATATCTGCGTATGGTCCCAAATAAAACATTTTGAATATTATAGGAATACTCTTTTATTAAAAGACTGCAAAATGTAGAGTTAGTTGCTTATGGTTCTATACCAACAATATATTCAAAACATGCTTTTACGTAGATTCTAAGAATAGGGATCGTCCGTAAATTATATAACATTATTTTTATACTTTTCAACTACTATCCCACCCTTTGTAATGGTCCATAACACTGTCGCATAAACCACGCACAAAATTACGTAACTCATATCTTTGATCTTTTAACTGCACTAAGGAATAATTCTGCCGGCCCGAGGCAAGTTTTAGGATGGAGCGTGATCCTATTATGGCGCCCCCCCCGAAAATATCGAAAAGTGAAAAAAATATTTTTTCCTTTAATTTTCTTTATCACTGAAGTGCCCCCTAGGACTTAGCGCCTGAAGCAACTGCTCCGTTCGCCCTATGGTAGGGCCGGCTCTGTACACAGCGCGGGGTACCGAACGTTACATCTTATTAATTACATGTTTAATGTGCAAAGCAATGACGAACAGTAAAGTTCGCTATGAAAACTTTCAGATTAAAAAATAAATTACTAAAAGGTTTAGACCCTAAGGTATGTTACTAAAGGTTTAGACCCAGAATTTCCTAATGTGTTGTACAGCATCGTAACGATTACCTACATACCATCCAAATCTGAATTATGTAAATGTTTATGTTAGGTATACTGTATAAATAACCTTAGGTATCTAAGGTTAAATTTTTCGGTTACATGTTTGTATTTAAAATTAATGTGAATTATATTATATATTATGGAGAGGTCTGTCTCTTTAAAACTGAATTCAGAAGCAAGAATTTCAGAAATTTCTTAATTATTGTAAATTTCTAAATTTTAATTTTAAAGCTATTTTTTGTGACCTGATTTATTATAATAATTTAAAAATTTGATTTATTTGACTCTTTGCATCGTTTTATGTAGACCAAAATTTTAAAAAGCAATTTCCAAGTAAATAAATAGTAGTAAAGTATTCAAACTTTTATAAATAATATAATCCATTCATTCCATCATGTGGGTACTAAGAGGACTTTTTCTCACCCATCGGACAGGTCCACAATGGGGCAGCCGGATGGTGAGAAACTAGACCAGACATATACGAGACAGACTAACAAAAAAATTTTGGGAACTGATTCGATTCCAGGTGCCCCAGAGCAGTAGGCTGACGCCATAACCTACTCAATTAAAATTAATTATTATTAACAATATACATTTTAAATGACTATTATTTAAAAGCATAAATTGGTTTTGTTATTAATGGATAACAAAATCTCATCTTTAGCCTCGATTGTTGTTCATTAATTATTATAAATTTATCCATTGTAGCCAGGTTTAATATTAATATTAGCGAGCCGAGCGCATATAAGAATTAACCATTACAAATAAAAGACAAGGAACAATGTTTTTATGAAGTAATCATAAAAAATCCGGATCAGATTCGAGTCCAATCCCATGACGGATAGACAACACTGGCCCAGCAGTAGCCAAGCGGTTCCGTTCTCTGAACACAGATTTCGGTCGTGAGTTCGCGCCTTGCCCGGACGGGCTAGCCACGTGGAGTTTTCTCCACGTTTGTAACATCTGAATAGGAACCACCCATAAAAGACCTCCCGGAAGGCATCTCTCCTAGGCAGATTGCCCAAGTGTTGTGTTGCCATAACTTAACAAAACATCAAACTGACAACGCGCTATCATATCGGAAAGGATTATTTGTGGAAAATGAATACTTTTAATGAATACTTTTAATATTTCTATAAGATATGAAAGATGTCCATGAAAAATTGCAGACTGCAATGTTAATTTAATTTTTACTTGAGAATTTAAATTTAGATTACAAGGACGGAATGAGGCAACGAGACACTTGGGCGATTTGCCAAGAGGACGTACCTCTCAGAAAAATTTTCTATGGTACACTAGCTATATTAGGCGTTATAAACTTGAAGAAAAGCCGGAAAACCCGTTGGCGCGAACTCACGACTGGATTCAGTGATTTTATCCACTCGGCCATTAGCTGGCATTCAAGATTAAGAAAAAATTATCAATACCTTATCAGTATTTTTGCAAGGTTTTAAATAAAATTTTTTTAATATTTTGGCTATTGCCATTTTAGCTTCCATCTGAGCAAATCTCATTCCAACGCAGTTTCTTGGACCAGATCCAAACGGTTGCCAAGCCATTGGATTGTTCTTATTACGATTTTCCGGAAAGAATCTACTTTAAAAATTTCATTAAAAATTAATTTTTCGTTTCTACAATTGCCAAATAATATAACGTCCATAGAGTTTAACCTTTCGGGAATAAATTTCTCTGCGTCAGGCCAATAATCTTCATCTCGATGTAACAGATAAACAGGAACCTGAATCGCCATACCTTTAGGAATTTTGTAGCTGCCATATTGGGCGTCTTCCACGGTCTCTCGGTTTACAAATCTGAAATTTAAAGAGCATTTCGAAGAATTTTTTTTTTATTTTACGGTAAACGTAAAATAAACATACGTATACTTAAAACAGTGATGCTAATCAATTGGTTTTATTGGCCTTTATTCTTTGGGGAAAGAGTAAAAATAAAAATAAAATTCTAAACCAAAGATGGAGAATATGAAATTTCAGGTGGCATGTGGTCTTTTAAGTAATTTCTAGTGAGGCCTGATAAAATGTAAACTGCAATAAAATAAAAGTAAGTTTTGTACACCTGTTTTCTTTATATTTCAGATAAATGAACAAAAAAAATATATTTTTTTATTGTTCTTTATTTCAATAATGTATATGTTTGTAACTTATTGAAAAAGAACAGAAATGTTTTAAAATATATCTGCATTGTTTGAGTGTTTATGCTGAATGTATACATTTAAATAATTTTCAATACACTTGCGGCTTCTTAAGATCCTCTGAAATAGTATATGACCTTCTGATTGAAACAAGTTTCTATCTGATATAAACAAAGGTTTATATTGTTGTTTTAATAACTTACTATTTTGTTTTAAAAAATAAACCAGCAACGAGTTGCTTAACTTTACTGACAACATTTAAAATTTTGGTGGCACCATCTGTTATCATATTTTATTTTAAAAAATTTTATATTTTTAACTATTATAAAACGACAAAAAGCTTAATTTTGAGGTAGGGATGGGTTTCATAAAAAAAATTGTAAATGTTAATAACGAGTAAAATTGTCATTAAGTCCGACCCTACTGGAGATACACACGACTGCCATTATCTCCCTACACCTCCGACCTTTAATCACCAAAATTTAATAGCATCAATTCCCCTAACAAACAAACTTCTCTGCAAAATTTCCGAAATTTTTGACAAAATACACAGGAGTTATTAAGCTTCAAAGAAGGTGAACAAAATCGTGCCCCCCCCACACACTTGCATCCATACATATAGAAATTATCACCGAATTTTTTGTTTGCATTTCTCGACGTCTCAAGGTGTCCCAAATTCAAAAATTTAAACATCTTGGGGATTTTTTGACCGATCGCCATACTTTCCCTCTGTTATATATAACAGCTAGAAAAGTAAAAGAAAAGAAAATACGAGAGAATAGCGTCATATATAACCATAACATTTAAAATATTAACTCATTACAAAGACTAAATAACTTTATTTATTAATTAAATTCATGAAAATCTGGAAATTAAGTTTCGAAATTTAATAATGTTCTAAATATAAACAAAACAATTAAAAGAAAATTAAAATTACTTACAGATATATTGGAGGGTATAAACGTAATATCTCAGAAAAAACGGCATCTAAATACTGTAATTTGTGTACAGAATCATAATTAAGACATCCCTAAGAATAAAAGAAAATAATTATACAATTATATGACGATTAATTAATCTCTTAATGCAAGTTACTACCTCTCTCTCGAGCAATTCATTTACTTCTCTTCTAATATTCTCTTGCACTTCCGGATAGTTAACTAGCATCATGGTGCAGAAAGCAAGGGCTGTACTTGTAGTTTCGTATCTGAAATTAAGCAACATTAATCACTAGAGTTTTCGGCAATAAATAAGCATTTAAAGGTATTTAAAGTGTACCCTGCAAGTAGAAAAAGGAATGCATTTGAAATTAATTCGTCGGTGGTCAGATGTCTTGATTTCTTGCCTTCATTGCTTTCTGCGATGTTTTAACGATTAAATATATTAAAGTATTGCAAAAATAGCAAAATTATTACAAAACATAACACAGAATAATGCCTCATTAGTTATGTCAAATGAAAATTTAACAGAAATTTTATACGATTATTAAATTACTATGCGGAAATTAAAATAAGCGAAACTATAATAATATTACAGTTTTTAATATAAAAATACACTATTATAAAGTATAAATTTTATACTGATTAATATTTATATTATTTATTTATTTACATTCAAACTACGAAACTAATACGTAGACAGCAAATAAGAAATTACTTCCTATAAGTCTAATATTTAGACAGGCAAGGAGATAATCTCCTATGATAATTAAACAAGCAAGAGGTTAATTATTTATTATAGAGAACCGCATTTTTAATAATTTCTTTAGGAAGACAAAGCGTAAGCTTGACTTAATTAATTTAATTAAAAACTTTATTTTAGTTTTATAAACACTTCGGCTGTCTATTGCACTTTTCTTCTGTCATCAATTTCTTAATAAAATTGCACATATAATTCAAGATTCATGAACAGTCATCTTAATAAAGACAGAACTTTAATATCCAAAGCAATCTAAAATCAAACTTAAATTGAATTTACTGATGCTTACTTTGTCAAGCGTTCGTTCTGTCTTCCTTTAGAAGAACAAAGAAAGAAAGAAAGAAACAGATTACCTCCAATAATATTTAAACAAGCAATTACTCCCAAAAATACATAAAAATAAAATAATTATAACATTTATTAAATTATTGACTGCTGTTTATATAAAAAAACTAGTTTAATTCATACCAATTCTCTCTCTTAACATATTTTCTTTTTCTGTATCACCAGCAATCAAGGATTCATCATCTACTTTAGTATTTTCTTTCACTTCAGCATCAATTAACTGTTGTAAAAGATCGACTTTTTTTTGCTAAAAAATAATCACAATAATTGAGGATCTAATTTAAGTTCTTTTCTAATTAATAATTTTATTGATATTTTGTAATTAATTATTACCGAAGGATTTTCTCTTCTTGTCTCGATAATAACTTTGCATCTGTCAAATAGTTCTTCTACGGGGTGTCTCCCTTTATTTGCTCGAAATCCACCAAAAAGTCTAAATAGGCGCATCACATGAGAAAGATGGTTGAAAGCGGCTAAATAATTAATATAAATTATTTCAATCTTACTATTTTCCTATATATCTAGTGTTTTTAAATTAATAAAGAATTGCAGAAGTCATATTACAAACTGAAAAAGTCTGTACTTTGCATTTATGTACAGTACACTATAGCGCCTTCCTAAATAACGTCAATAAATATTTGTGAACGAATTTTTCCCATAAAATATCAATAGAGGACCATTCAGTATTTGCGAATTAGTTACATTGAAATAACAGCACTATGTGAATTTTAAACTTTCAAAACCAAATTTCTATTTAGAACTTATTATTTGAAGTATTTCACTTTAGCGCCAAACTACATCTAGTGCCAATTTCAGAAGTAAATAAATGATAGCGTTAAATTTAAGTTTAATTACACAAGGCATTCATAAAAGACTGGTAGCGTTTCACGGAGGCGCAACTCCGTCACTTTTCGATGACGAAATGTAATAAATACATAGATTCGTCACTCCTCTATCCAAGTTTCATCTCGCATAGGATAATCATTAGTTTCTCTTTTTGCCTACTTGGTGGCGGTTGGATTGAACGTGTTGCAGATGCGAGCCATCATCTCTTTCAGAAGCCATACTGGTTCCTGGGCCTAATGTGGCTTTTTCCTATAAGGATGATGAAAGTTTACGTGCCCAAATGTTTCTATCCTCCGGAATCTTCGGAAAAAGATTACCCATGCTGTGGTATCTTTACATCAACACGTTCTATCGTGTTTAGAGTATGACTACAGCTTGGAGGTATGTCCGGATGACCAAAGGTGCGTAAACAGAGGGCCTTTGAGTGACACACATCACATATAAATAGTCACATTTCCGATTGAAATAGGTCATAATTAGGTCATATAAGGTAAAAATTACAGATCTGTAAAACCGAACCACTCTTTAATGAGCACCCTATATTTAGAATTAAAGTAATTGAAAAGATGTAAAAAAAGCCTACGAGATAGATTCCGTGATACGTCTCTTATATCAAGAAGTCTGATACAAAAGCAGATTCTTAATTAATTATTTCTATATTATAAGTTCGAAGACATGTTCAAGTTTTCAAAATTTTGCACGATATCATATAAAAGTATTTTCTTTACTTTGCATGCTTCAATTATAATAAACGCATCTATAATCATATCCTATCAGAATACAAAAAATTAATTTTTTATAAAATGTATGTATATTCTATATGCTAATTAATTAATTAGATTTCCTCTCATTTTTATATAAGAAAAATTTAGTTAATTGACAAAGATGATATACATATAAGGATGCATATTAGATAAAGACAATAGTATTATAAGGAAGAATGAAATCTTATATTTTAATCATCTTTTATTCTCTATATAATATTATTTATCCCCATTATAAATAAATAAAACAATTTTATTCAAATAATATTTCTTTTATTTACTGTATACACAAATAAAATTTTTTCATGCATTATTTTTAATTTATAAAATTAAATATAAAAGCAATTCTAACAAAATTTATTCTCACGAAAAAATAACTTAAAAAAGCTATAAAAATTATTTTAAAAGTTTTCTACTTACACGAAATTAATGCAGAAATAAATTGAAATGGGAAATTAAACATTAAATGTGCTAATCTTAGTAGGGGATCGTCAGGATTTTTCTGTACATTTGTCTGTATTCCAAAAGCCGTCCGTCCAATCACATCTATTGTTAGACGTTTAAATAGGGTATAAACATCAAAAGTCTCTCCGGATTGGCATTTTTCATTTAAATTTTCAAGCAGTGTATCGATAGAATCATTCATAATAGGAGACATCTGTTAGCACAATGTAAAAGAATAAAAAATCTTATTCAAATTTCGTTGATGTCATCAAAATAATCGAAAAATCGAATGCGAAATCGACTAATAATCGAAAAATATTTTTGGAGAATGTTTCTTTTTATAAAATGAATCATACTAGATTAATTTTTATTAGATTGTAAGCATCTTTAATTAATTTATTTATCTTTTATTGTATCCCTAGAGAATGTTTCTCTTCCAAAACATTCTCCAGGGATATTTTTCTAAGTGGGTTAGAAGTGCAATTATTCAGTCAAAAATCATTTATGCGTTTTATATGAGGTTATAGGAGATATTATAATATCGGACTCCTCCCTAAAAGCTCTGGTCAGAAGAATTGTTCCTGACAATTTTGTTTGTATTTCTCATCATAATTTCTATTCTCTCTCTAATGGAAAATATGCGATTAGATAAGAGAAGAAATAATTCTTGCACAACATTTTTTCTTCGAATAATATTAAATAAATCTTTTGATAAAATTATTTTGCGTAAATAATAAAGTTAAAAACCACAGAGATTTAAAGCATAAATAGATATTTTAATATATATATAGGGGAGACCGGGGCAACTTCGGCATGCGGGGCAAGTTTGTCAAGCGCTTTTTTTTAAAAACAAATTAAAAGGAGACTTTGGTTATAGGTTAGGCAGTTGAGTTTTATTGGTGGCTTGTTGAGTGTAGTGTTTTTATTGTTCTCCAACAAGCGTAGTTGAATTATCAAGCAAATTTTCATTTTCGTTCAATTCCATATAATATTTTTTTTTCCCATTTATATTGAATTGGCAGGTTTTGTTATATTTCCATGATAACGAAAGTTACTTTTCCTGTTAGAAGGATGTAACTTCAACTTATTCACGTGGCCAGATCGTGGCTTGGCATTCTGTTCTCAGGGTTGTACTTAATGTTTCGAAATCATGACTAGCGGGGTAAGATAGGCAACATAAAGCCATATTAGAAGCAAAGGATAAAAATCAAACAGATGATAAATGAAAACATGTTTCCATTTGTTATTCATGTATATATGTCTTTGAACTTGCATTTCGTTGTAATAATATTAAATGGGTGTTGGATTTGTATTTCTTTGTTTTAATAGTGAATTCCAACTTATACATTGTTAATAACATAATTTTATGTACGTGCCTATCTTGCCCCATTACTGTTGTCCCTATACCAGGGGCAACTTTAATAAAAATAATTAAAATAATTACAACTTTACAAAAAGAGAGAAGTTGCCGATCTTGCCCCTATACCCGGGGCAACTTCGTCAATTTCTCTCTTCTTGTAAAGTTGTAATTATTTTAATTATTTTTATTTCCAAACTGATTTTAACCAGTTCTATAGTAAGGTAACATTCCAATAGACAATATGCAAAGCTTTTTTTTCATTTTACAGCAGTATTTATTACACAAAATTTAAGTAAAGCTTAACATGCCGATCTTGCACCGGTCTCACCTATATTTAAATTTTATATTGTTTAAAGTTTTCAATAATTAAATTAAAGTAAAAACAGTATTTATTGGATTGGATCAATTAGGATAGAATCTAATAATCATTAATTTACACCATTTTAAAGTTTTAAATATGAATTTAAAACTCTAAAATATCACAATATTTAAGACTTCTCTGCATGGCTTAGCGATCGAAGACATGCAAAAAAAGTCTCGCTGTTTATTATATATAACCTTACATATTCAAAGTAATGTTAAAACAAACAAACATACTTACGATAATACATGATAATGTTTTCATAGTTTCCATAGTTTCCAATATTGAACATCGATTTCCATAGTTTAATTTAGTGATTTAATAAAAACTTACCATTTTCATTTTGCTTGTAGTAAACGAAGGAGTGACTAGGCTTCTCATTTCTTTCCATTCTGTTCCTTTTAAAAATAATAAATTTATCCGTCTTTTATCATTTGTATTCACTCTTTCTCCGTAAAGCAACTGAAAATTTATTTTTCAAAATTTTAGTATAAAAAAACTGATTTCAAATTTTGTAACACAATATTGACTTACTGGTCTGTTCGGAAATTTGTGAAATTCTTTTATCTGTATATTCTTCAATAAGTCTGTATCGGTAACTAGCAGAACGGGCTTTAGCCCAATGTAATATCTGAAACAATAATTTACGCCCATAAAATCAACAAATTCCTATTAATTATAAATCGTAAACTACACTCTTAGTACGATAAATGTTAAATAATAAAATATATTGTGTTTATTACATAATATGCAGGAACTCTATAAAATTCTTATATAATTCTTTTAAATAATTTATTTGTAGCTTAAAAATAAAAACTACAAAATGCATTGAAAAAATAATTTATACTTCGTTTAAGAGATTATTATTTTTACTCTATTAAACTATTAAAATTATATTTAAAAAAAGTATATACACAATTAATTAATTTAAAAATTATAATTATATATACTAGGTTTAGGATATTGCTCGACTTTCTCGTAATACGATAGAATTGAAGCAGAGCCTGAAATAGAGGCGATCATGTTGGGCACGGATAGGGAGAACCTTGCAATTGCCATCACCGAAGCGAGTCAAGAACAAAGCAATCGACTCTGATTGCTTTTTATTGTGTTTTGTTCATTTTTCGCACAAATTTTCCGTTAAGCGCGTGCAATGCTGTTTTTTAAATCCCTAAATTCCATTAGGTGCACTCAATCGCGTCAGAGAGCTTGAACATGTCACTTTGACCCCACCTATATTTGGAAAACGAAATGAGGGACCATTATTTTTTGTTATATTTTTGGATTCCTAATTGCAATTAATGGAAAACGGGGAAATTTCTTGAAAATCGGTCCTATAAATTTTGAGAACGCACTCATTTCTAAAAACCACATAAAAGATTTGCTAGCGACTTTAGAACATCGCACGACTTTGTCGTGTGATTCTCGTGATGTTACTTTGTCACACTTGCTCGTGCCAGAGACCTTGATCCTCGAAAACGAAGTAATGGACCTTCATTTTTTGTTATATTTTTTTTAATTTCTCATCGCAGTTAATAGAAAATGGCAGTTTATTAAAATCAATCAATCAAATTTTGAAAAAAAAAAAAATTCTGTAAGCCAGAAAGTGGCTTGGCTAACGCTTCACCTCATTTGTTTATTTATAATCAACCAAATTGCCACATCGTGTTCGTTACATTGTTGCATTAATTAAACTTCAAGGTGTCAAAAATCTGTTATCTTTTTAATTTTAAATACACATTTATAATAACATACAGCAGTTTATATAATCATATATCATAATAAATTCAGGCATTGTAAATTATATTTTAAATAAAAATAAATCAATAAACAAAGTATTACTTGTTTGTNCAATTAACCAGAGCAATTCTTCAGGCATTCACTCAACCTTTGAGTGAATGCCTGAAGAAGAGCCCAGAAGGGGCGTCAAAAACGTTTGCATTTAAAAACGAATGTTGCTCTGGTTAATTGGTTAAAAGTAAGAAGATTTATAAAGTTAATCTTATTGAATTATCAATTATTGAATATTTATTATTATTTGTTGAATAAATTGTATTTGTTTGATACTTTGTTCATTGCAAGTAAGTTTTGTTAGAAAATATAACTGTGCCCATTGATTAAAAATAAAGATCCTCTTATTCCCACAGGATAGAAGGGGTAAAAAAAATGAAAGCTAAACTATGGCAGATGGAAACATTTGATTCATCATTGATGATTGCATGAAACCATCAATAATTTTGATGCTATCACATAGCACTACACTACATGGGGGCAACAGAATATGTGCATAGATTACTAAAGGTATATGCAGATGACATATATATATAAGTCATCTACAGACACCTATCATTTGCAATTGTTATTTGACTATTTATAATACAAATTGGAATATTTTTGAATAGAAATGGATAAATCAGGACATTTTGGGAAAAATTTTCTTACCAGGATAGTGTTCCAAATTGGACAAATGTTGAAATATCAAGATGTTTGGTAACCCTAATCCCATGTGGTGATGAATCTACATTCAAATAATTTGTCATGCTTTCCCAACATTTTCAGTGAATTCCTTAAATGCTGATTTATCACCTTTGTCCATGTAATGTACAAACCATTCAAATTTCAAGAAAACTTTCACTTTAAGTGGTCCTAAAACAACTTGTCTGTGGAAAGTTATCTGAAAAACTTTGAAATTTATTCATTTCATAATTAAGATTTAATAAACTGGAAATGCAACATTGAGTTATACATTATTAAAATCATTCTGGAATTAACATTAAAGATTTAAACGATGACTCTATTGTTAAGTCGAGATACACTCAACACATTATTCATAAGAAGAGAGTTTCGTCAGTATTTGCTATGAAATAATAATTTCCTAAGTAATCGTAAAAGTAATTGCAGGTCTTGAGGCAAATCATGTAAACATTAATTTCACTCAAAAGATAGACAAATCAATCCGGAGAGATATTATTCAATTAAGAATAAAGATAAATGGTAATGTCTGTGAATATTCATTAAACATGCTAAACCAAAAGAAGTTGGAGTATGCAATAGCCTTTGAAGATTGATTTTAAATGATTCATGTAAAATGTTTCTTTACTTCCCAATGTTTTAAATATTCAAACGCTTAAAGGAAAATGGGAGATTCGTTACAATTATGAGATTAGTCAATTTATTCAATCTAATGGTTGTCCTGTTCAAAAGAAAATCTTCACTATTTTAGCTTTCATTGCTGTACAGTACCTCAACTGAATTTTTCATTACGTAAGTGATAAATTAGATTAGAATTACTATTGATAGCCTTCAACTGACTAATTTACTTATTAAAAGTTTAGAATACGCAATCTAAATTTTTACCAAAATGACAACGTTTTACAGTATAGTTAGCTATTTTAAATTCATAGAGTTGGATTGAATTGATGGGATGAGGTAACACAACAATTGGACAATTTGCCACGGTGAATGCCTCCCGGGAATGACTTTCTATGGGAAACTGGCCCCTAGTTAGGTGTTAGACGTGTAAAGGAAACCCAAAAACTTCACGTGGCCAGTCTGTTGATGAGGCACAAACCCGCGACCAAGTACCAGTATTCGGTGGTTTTATCCTCTCGGACACAGCTGGGCTTTAAATTCATGGGAAAGACGTTTATCTTAGCTACCATTATTTCAGTTATTCTTCGAATATTGTTATCTTTTCATTGAAAAATATCCGAAAAAATAGGATAAACTATCTTAGTGGTTCCTAATTAGGTTTTCCTACGTACCACTTCAAGAAAGAGCTCAAACTCGCGTACCCCTTATAGCAGAAATTCATATTAATCCATACTAATATTATAAATCCGAAGGTAACTCTGCGTGTTTGTCTGTTACCTTTTCACGTCTAAACCGCTGAACAGGTTTTAATAAAATTTGGCACAGAGATAGCTTACATGTTGGAGATGGACATAGGCTACATTTTACTGCGAGAAAATATCTTACTCCCACGAGAAAATTCGATATAATGAAAGCGAAGCTGTGGGTAGACAGCTAGTGATAAATAAAATAAGTTTTTTTTACATTTATTACCTTTAAAATACAATTCTAATGATAATGAAAATAACATAAGGTTATTTAATTTTAATGCGACAAATGTGCACGATTTTCTTTGCAGAACTTTGTAAAATCTGGTTGCTTTTTGGTCAGCTTCAGTCTCAAGTCATCTTCAAGTTGAAGTGTTTGTCATGGCCGAAAATCCGCTCTCACAGAGGTATGTTGTGCAAAATGGTAGTAAATATTTTATTGCCGCTTCGCTGACATGATAATAATGATAATTGTACAATTAACACAAATTGTGTTCATTGTACAATTTTTGTTTCTTGTGTAAGAATTTCATTTAGGTATTGTCACAAATGCATTTTTTGATGAAATTTCGAGAATGTTTTGAGTTATAAATAAACGAATTTGTGCATTCGACATCATGTTGTAAATTGCCGAATTTTTGATGGTCCCCCCATTAATTTTTGATTGTTTCATCTCATGCATTTAAATTTTAAATCGACCGATTTTAGATTGCCGCGCGAACCCCTTCATGCGATTTCGCGTACCCCAGGAGTACGCGTACCACTAATTCGGAACCATTGAACTATCTCCAAGCTAAAATAATACAATGAAATTTGTATTAGTCTCAGCACTAGGTCCTCAAAACATCAGTCATTTAAGAGACGTTGAATGAAGAATTTGCTATATAATAATGCTATTATATAGCGAATCCTTATAGTATGAAATAGTTAATAAGTATTTTTTATACTATATTTAAATATATTTTATTTAATTAATTACCTGCTATATACTTCTCTGAATTTTTAAAACTAGTTATTTTACTAGTTTATGGAAAAATTGGGAAATGAACATCGTCTAACAAAGGAGAATCTAGTGCATTAAAGTTCACACATTTGTCACAGACAAACGTGACAAATGTGTGAATTCTAATAAAGCGATCCTCAATCATTGACCACTGAATACTGCTCGTGGGTTCGTGCCTGACCAACAGGCCGGAGGTGTAGTATTTTTCGGGTTTTCTTTACGTGCCTAATAATCTAAATAGTCGCCAGTTTCCCGTAGAAACGCCTCCCGAAAGGCACTTCCTTGGCAGATCGCCCGTGTGTTGCAATGTCTTACTTTACAACCAATCAATTACACACGAAAAAATATATTTGACCAATACCTTTTAGTTTTTATGAAACAAATTCAAAATTGAATATCCATGTTGTTTACTATATTCATTATACATTATTTTTAAATACAAAAATAAAAAAATCCGTTATGTTTAATTACTAAACATTAATAAATAAATTAAATGTGATTAGTTTGATTAAGAAATACTGATTAATAAAGTAGTTGTAATTGGAATTATCATTAAATTTCATCTTTCTCGCTGAATTTCCAAAATGTTATGTTCTATATTCTGGTGTTAATTTTATTCGTCAATGGATGGCCAAATAGTTATTTTCAAAGACCTTCTCGGAGAACCACTCTGAGTTCAAGTCTGGATCAGCTCAGAAATTTTCATTTGTTTACCCGGACACATCGGAACACTGTCCACCTTTTCATCATATGGAGCCTTTTTTTTCTTGTAGATTTGACAGCACTCTTAATGGGCATGGAAAATACCCTGTTAGTCATTGGCACTTTGGTGTGAATACTAAGGTTAAGATGGCAGATGTAATTGCTCCACTTAAAATTTTATAGAAATAAAAAGACTATTTTTAATTTAGATACCAATTTTTAATTCTTTATATTTTTTTGCTTTCGTTGTCATCCCCCCTTTTTGTTCTTATTTTGCCCGAATTTGGGAGAGCAGTTCCCCCTGCTAACCCGACTCAAATGCCCATGAGACGAGACCCGACATATCCGGACCATACCGCCCACGAAAAACTTTTGGTTAATTAGTCCGAATTCAATCCGGGATTACTCTGAGAAATAGATTACTATTTAACTACCTCGGAAATCCGGCTCATATACATCTCTTATTAGAAATCAGGATATAAAAAATTTAGCGAGAAAGATATTTATATTTTTAATTCTCTTTAAATAATAAAACCTTTCGAATGACTATTTAATGAATAAAGTACTTACCCAACGACTTTGCCGTATTTTTTAATCCATTTTTTATGAGTTTCTATAAATCCCTAAATAAAATTAAATCGGTTTGTATTCGATTAACACTATAGCATTTCGTCATTATATTTACAAATATTATATATAGACTACTTATTAATCTCACATTAAAATTAATTATCAAATGATTTAAAAAGTAGTTTAAATAATTTCATTATAATTTTATTTCAAAGAGAAATTTTAAATATTTACGAGATTCAATTATTGAAAGTTGTGTATAAGTTGATTCTTACCTATGCTATAAACTCAGATAAATAAAACATTTTATTCAAATATATACTCTCATTGCCATAAAAATTAGCTCACGAGAAGTTGTTTCGCTGCGAAATTTGATCATACAGATGTGAGGGCCCGGATTTAAGAAGGCTGAGATTCGAATATTTTTATTCATTTTCATTTACCATTTTTGTTTCTAAAACCAAAACGATTTTATAAAAGTTAGGGTTAACTCAAAAAGAGAAAAACAACTGACAAATTTTCTCATTAAAATCACTCATAAAACTCAATTTCCACGAAAATACTTCCTTGTAGAAGATGAGTTAACTGTTGTGTCATAATTTTGTCACTTCGCCCACCATTGGTCAAAGAAGATCACCACCTGTGACATACATGGGGAAATCTCGAGAAGAGAGGCCCCATATAAAAGGCAAGTGCGATGACGCCACAGGGGGAAAAAGTTATTTTTCTGTACTGTGTGTGTGTGTGTGGATTACCTGCCTCTGATCGCCACCATCTTCGCTAGAACTATTCTACGATTTGCGGACTTACGTCGACTCACGAACTATTTTAACTAGCCCGGGATTCGGACTCCAAGATCGTCCTGAAAACCCCATCCTGTATAACTAGAGGTATTTATCCTACCCGCGATGATATGTAAGCTTACTCTTGAATATTTCCAACTCGCGGTTAAAGTCGTGACTAAATTATATTTTGTCCGCTATCCCAACCGGAATTTATGAATATTACAGATTGAAAATCCCGAGAAGGAATTGTACCCTCGACTCCTTAATTAATCATCTGTAAAAATGTTCAACAATAAACGGGTATAATGTTAACGAATTTTGATTGGTGTGCGTTTCTTCCAACATTATCACCTCCATACTGAACCTGAAGTCCTCCACGAGATCGCTCATGATAATTTTGTCCTCAATTAAACGCGTATCTATCCGCTATGAAATTGATAGATTGGTGTCAGATCCTGACGGGAGAAAGGATTTAACGATCCTTAACTCTATAACCCTTTCGCTCAACAGAACCCATCCTTTGGACAAGAGAGACCTGACCTCAAGGTCTTGAGTCGAGTAAGTGGTAGGAGAGGGACATCCTCGTAAACATCCTACCCCCGATTAGTCTCACACTGGTTAGTCAGAAGTGGGATACGAAATTGATTCGATTTCGAAGTCAAACACCCTCTTTATATTTCCCCCAACGATCTTAACGATCTTAAGAATCAGTAATGGAGGCGAATGCCGGAAATCCAGGAAGAGCTACTGGAAGTGGAGCCGATAATCCAGGAGGAAGCGCACTCCAAGGCATATCCGAGATGATTCCCCTAATCTCCACATTTTCGGGTGACGCCTCGGGATTGCGCATCACAGACTTTTTCGACTCGCTGGACGAAATAGCGAAGCTAACCGGATGGACAAAAGCGCAATGTCTCGGAGTCGCAAAGCTAAACCTGACAGGCATAGCGAGAGACTACGCGTGGAAAGACATGCAAATGCGAGCAATCGACACGTACGATGAGTTCAAAAAATTGATGACACGGCGATTTGAGAGAGAACCCTACTCTCTTAGACTCCAGAATTTCCATGCATGCATACAAAAACGCGATGAGGATGTACAAACGTATGCAGGCCAGCTGCAAAGCCTAGTAACTGAAACAATAATCGAGCAGACAGGGGCTGATGCTCGGGAAACCGAAATAATCAAACGATGTCAAGCTAGAGAGCGAGACGAGAGACTACTCGCCCAATTTGTAACCGGTCTGAATGCTAGAATTAAGGGTAGAGTATTGTCCAGAGAACCGGACACATTTGACAAGGCAGTCAAAGCGGCCCTTAGCAAAGAGACGATAGTACAATTAACAGAAACCTCCCCTAGTGGAATAATTAGAACGGTAGCCAGTCCCGAACATACGAATAATAACCTAAACGCAACAATAGCGCACTTACAAAGACAATTAAATGAACTAAAATTTAGGGATGAAAATCGGCGTCGGAGAGGAATACAATCTGCGAATAGAGAAAGATCATACTATTTCCCCCGTCAGAACGGCGCGATTATTCTCGAACTGATTCATATGTCGGAGGAGCAGGAGGCGAAAGGCAACCATATCGATCGAACTATAGATCAAGCGAACAGACGAACCGATTTCGATCTCAACAGACTATCCCTCCGTCACAACCTCTACCGCATGGGAGAGTTAATAAAATGAGTTGGAGAAGGATGAGAACAAAATTCTGATGAGATGGTGTACGTTCCCCATCTTCTCTACGAACTAATTCACATCGAACGCAAATTCCATCTTCAACTATATCAGACAAAAATATGGAAGGCGACAAAAAGTACAAAGAATCACGAGCTCGAATAGGTGTAGGAATAGTAGCAAAAAATTTCGAACCTAGCTTATGTTGTTCAATCAATGACTATCCAGCTCGATTGGCCATTTGGTATCATAGTAGCCATTTTACATCCTGCCATAGACAGCTATCCACCGTCGCGACGGTGAAACCAAATCCCAAAAAGCTGGCCAAAAGTCGAAAAATAGAGTTTAAGTTCCGGTAATTTCTAGTCGTGGGTTCGGTTGGATAAGAGTCCGAAGGTCGAATTTTAGACTTTAGCGCCCCCTATCTCTTATACCCGCTATTGTAGTTTAGTTGAAAGGGGACTTTCAATCGAGCTAGAAGCGTCATGCAGTAAGCAAAGATTTCTACGCTATATTCAAGAGGGTGCCAAATCTCTAAAAATCAATCGAATTTAAATTTAAAAAATGGAATCTGCAGCTGCAAGTAAGTAGCATATCATTATGTAACACAAAATTGATGATAATACTTTATGTGATAACAGTAAACTAATGATTTGTACGAAAATGAACGGAAGATTACAACAGAAAATTTTAAACATGTAGAGAAAAGTTCATAAATTCTGTAGAGTTCTGCGACTGGACCGATCGCGTGTTGTAGCTCGAACTATTATTAAATGAAAAAAATTAAAACTAGCTGCAACTATCTGCAACTGTGTCATTGGTGCGAGTTCTTGCAATGTAAAACATAGTTTTCTGAATTTTGTACATTAATGACGCGGAATGTTTTGCTCTTTTTCTTGAATTTGTCTGGTGTTTTGAATATTGTTTGCGTGTATCATATAAGCTTGAAATAAAACTGTGGCAAGCGCATAGTGATAAAGAAAATAAAGAAATAAGATTCTGAAAAACGAATATACAGAAGGGTTTCAGTATAGAATTGGGTCTAATAGTCGATCAACCAAAGCCTGGTTTCGGTAGCTCGAATGATGAGAATATCGCTCGACAATTTTTCAAAAACTCAAGCATTTCTGCCGCTATTACAGGGGTTGATGAGGACTTGATTAAGCGTTTCCGTGTCATATTGCAGACAATTTCGTGTGGCCATGAAATCGATTTCATAGAATTTCAAGATTATGCCTTACAGACAGCTCGTTACTTTGTGCAGTTATATCCGTGGTTCTGCGTGCCAACTTCGGCACATAAGATATTGATTCATGGTGCAGAAGTGATAAATTCATCGGTATTGCCGATAGGGCAGATGTCTGAAGACGCTCAAGAGTCTACTAATAAATACATTAAAAAGTTTCGAGAAGATTTTGCAAGAAAAGTTCCCGAGTGAAAACAGTGGAAGACATTATTTTACGCCTATTATTAATATCCGATCCGTTTATTTCGAGTTTGTGCGAATTACCTCGAAAAAACTCAAAGTCGTTGCTTCCAGAAGCAGTTTTATTGTTAGTTGCGCCATGTATACCAGCAAGTACAAGAAGCTCCAGCGATTTCAAAGTTGAATCATCTGATTGTGAATCAAATTATTCTTTGGATGACGATGCATGAACTTTTAATCAACTGATTGTATGTATTAAACAATATATGAATTTATTTTGTACTTTTTCTATAAAAGTGGTTCGTGTTAAATCCGTCATTTTGTTTTTATTTCAAATTTTGACTTCGGATTCGTGATCAGCGATCCCGAAAACCCTCGAATACTGACTTTCAGCCAAATTGATAATGCTTTTGACTTTTGGCCAACTTTTTGGGATTTGGTCCCACTGTGCGTCGCCTCCGTTTGCAGTGGTGTCGGTCCGGACGGATTGGACCGCAACGGAATGAAACCAGGTTGTCTACAGCGACGAATCCAGATTCGGTTTGGGCACTAATGATGGTCGTGTTCGTGTCTGGATCGGAAAACTGTCTCAAAGCTGGTGTGATGGGTGCCATCACATACGACAGTTAGTCGCCTCTAGTAATGATCCAAAAGTCCAATACAGCCCAGCGGTATGTCAATGATATCCTGCAGCCACATGTGTTGCCTCTCATGGCAAGGCTCCCAAGAGCCATTTTCCAACAGAATAATGCTCGACCACATGCAGCAAGGGTGCCTCTGCCACATTGGTCATACTTCTCTGGTCTTCGCGGTATCCTGATTTGTCACTGATAGAACATGTCTGGGATCACCTTGACTCCAAGTTGGACAGCCTAGGAGTTTGGATTTATCCAAACTCCTAGGCTGTCCAACTTGGAGGACAAACTAGAAGACTGCTCAAACTAGAGGACTGCTTGCAGCAACTGTAGATTGATCTGCCGCAATCTGCCAACAGAGGTGCCTCCCAGGACTTTCTATGGGGATAATGGTTCTATTTAAGTGTTACATACATGAAGAAAATCTGGAAAATTCCACGTAGCCAGTCTGTTGGTCAACCGACATCCTGATCGTGGGTCCTGACCAATGAATCCAGTCCTGTAAACCTGACCAACTTACTAGCCACTCAGAACAAATTACCCATTCGGCTACTGGTAAGTTAAACAGGTTTAGAACAGTTTCATATTATTATCATCTGCAGGTGCCTGAATGTACGTAAAGTACATGCTGTCGTAATACTGTACTGTACATGCAATCGTTCTTCAAATACAGTAATCTTAAAAATATGTCTCTATTAACTGACTTTTGGACCACATCATAATTTTAAATAATATAAAATTTACATAAATTCATAATTTAAAGTAATAATTGTAACTTATTTGATTAACAAACTTACATTTCTGAAAACTTCCAAAAAATTGCCAAAAATTACGTTAGGTTGAGGTCCAGGAATTCCTAATTTCAGAAATACTTGAAAATGTCTTTTTCTCCATCTATTGAAAATTACAAAGAAATTTTTTACAGTAAATTATCAAATTATGATTTGTTCATATCATATTCATAAACCTATCTATCCACACCTATCCTCGGGTATCTTATTAAAATATGATATGAATTTTCCTGCTCAGAGCCACCAAGAGTTTGTACGGACCTGAAGCACAAAAGATATGGCCGAGCCTTTTGCAATTTTTTAATTTTTTTTTTGTTCCCTAAGTTTTTACTGGGTCCGGGAAAAATCTCCAACTCCTCTTTCTCTTGACAATTTTAGTATACATTATAAATCACATTTTCATTAAATTTGCAGTCTCTCATTATTTATTGAGACATAATGCTTCATATGTACAGTATTATCAATTATATTTATATCCGCGGAAAAATAGAAAATCATTTCTGATTATAATATGCTAAATAACTTTTAAATTAAAAATTAATTTATGTCGTTGTACTTTTTTGAATACTCTTCCGGCCCTGTGGGCACTAAGAGGGCCTCTTTTTGCAAGCCCATTATGGGTTCGGCCAGGCCCACAATGGGGCTGCCGGGTGGGGCTGGACATATCAGAACGGACCAACCCCCTTTCCAACTCAATCCCAGAACCAACCCAACCCAATTCCTGGGGATTTTTCGACCCGTTCGTACCCAGTCCCCTAGAGCTGTAGGATGCCACCTTGACCGCTCTGCCATCCGGCCGCTATGTTGTTGTACTGTAAATCAGTATTTTTCAACCTTTTTTATCTCACGACACACTTTGACACAATTAAATTTTCGTGGAAAAATTTACGTAATTAAAAGTTGTGTTTGTAAACAATCTATTGCCATATTGCTTGCCGCTTAACCTAATTCTTTTTGTTTATATTTTTTATAAATTAAATAAAACAGTATTGTTGTTCCTTAAAATAGCATAAGGTAGGTTACAACAATAGTTATTTAACTTTTTCAGCAATGGCCGGCATTTCTAAGTCGAGTTGCCATGTTGAATGAATAATTTATAATTTCCAATTTTTATTACTAAAGATAAATATTTTTTTAATGATTTAGTCTTTACGTCAGATTGGATTTTTTAACTCTTTCCATTCTGTGAAAACTAAGAGGGCCTTTGTTAGCAGGTCCATTATGGGTTCGGCCAAGCCCACAATGGGGCAGCCGAGAGGTGAGGGACTGGGCACGACATATCCGGACGGGCCACCACCGAAAAATTCTTGGTGGTTTATTGACCCGTCCGAATTCGATCCCGGGTCCCTCAGAGCGGTAGGCTGACAACTTGACCGCTCGGCCATCCAGCGTCTATCAGATTGGATTGTGAACAGATGAGAAAACGCAACTCAACACTAACACTTCGGTGATCTAACAAGGAAGTTACCATACGGAAGACTTCCTATGGAAAACTGACTCCTATGTAGGTGTTAGAGACGTGAATAAAACCTGAAAAACTCCATGTCCAACGAGCATTCGTCGGCGAAGTGCAAACCCACGACCAGTGTTTAGTGGTTTTATCCATTCGCTCACTAGCAGGCTTTCACATCAGACAATTTACTTTGAGTGCCTTTTTAACGTTTTTCCTACGTATAATTCTGATTTTAATTAAAAACACGGATTTTCACCCTTCTGAAATTACAATTCATTAATTGAAACACATTTGAATGGGATAAATTACATTGTATTATAATATTAAAAACTGTTTAAAGTCATCATATGGGGAAGAAGTTATGGCTGAAGGTATCCAAGAATTCTCAATGAGAAGAGCCTATCGCTGTATCGTTAGGTTGACCAAATCATCAACCTAATCAATACAGCAGGACTAGGAGATGTAGACAAGCAGGATATNTATAATAAATTATAAGATAAAATAATAAATGTCAACGAAAATTAATTTCTATCAGTTTTACATTTGCCTAATTTTAAATCCAATCCTTCAGATAATACTTACAAATGAATTGTTATTCCATTAAAGGTTTGATAAATGTTCTATTATCGTAAACCTAAACAAAAGTAGATTAAATAAATCCATTTCCAAGGTTATATACAGTACAAAAGTTACTATAAACAATGTTAGCTTTGTAAATTTGTGAGATATTAAATATATGGCGCTCTATTACAAAATATTCGGCTATTTAACAATATTTAATGTACTGTACTTAAATATATAACAAAGTTACATTTTACTATCGCAATTGTAAACTTGTAATAAATTTATATTTATCACAGAGAAATGACAGATATAGGGTTGTTTACAGTCAGGACAAATTTCAAAATCAAAATGAAAACAAAAAAAATTCTTATACTTACTGATACCACAAAAATAAAAGGAGAAATGTTAAAGGGAGCGTGACTTGCAAAAGCATTGTTTAAAATGAAACTAAAATACTTATCTTCGCAACGATAAATGATATTATATGTATTGCGATAATCAATATCAATTTTAATCAGTTCCAAGTATTCTTTCTTTGTTTATATCAATTACGCAAGTTGTTGATTACCTTTATCTACAATTGACTGACATTTAGTCATGGATTACATTGACTTGATGGTATACAGGGTGAGTCATGGATTACATTGACTTGATGGTATACAGGGTGAGTCAAAATTACGTGAACAATCTTAATTTTTAATTAAACATTATTAATGAAACATCTTAATTTTGTTTTGTTTTCTATTTCTATTCCGATTGATCGCGACGGACCGTTGTTATGGCCTCCCCAATCACCGGTGTTCTGACACTAAATTGTACTGTTGAACGTTGGTTTGAGTGCATTAATCGTGCTGGTGGTCAGGTTGAGACTCTGTATAACTTTGAATAAATGTTTTCTCTCAAATAGTGTTCACATAATTTTGGCTCACTCTGTACAACAACCCAACGTCTGGGCGATCTGTCGAAGAGATTTTGCCTGGAGAAAAATAAAAATTTTCAATGGGAAACTCTTCCATATTTAGGTGTTATACTGTACATGTGAAGATAATCTGGAAAACTTCATGTGACTAGTTCCTTGATTAGTCGCAAACCTGTGACCAACAACCATTGTTCAATGGTTTTATTCACTTGGTCAATGGTAGGCATTTGGTAGATTTGCAACTTTCACAGTAACAAATTCCGAGCACAGTTTATTTTTACTCTTTCTTTCCTGGGGCACTAAGAGGGCTTGAAGAAAAGCTCGCTTACTTATTAGTTCCTTTGAATGGGAACTGTACATCCAACCGGCATTTTAAACATTGTAAAGGCGCGTCAGTGTCCAAGCGGTTCCGTTCCCTCAACACTGGTAGTTCGATCGTGAGTTCGCCCCTGGCTAGGACGAGCTGGCGACGTAGAGTTTTCTGGGTTTTCTCTACGTCTCTAACGCCTAAATAGGGACCAGTTACCCTTAAAAAGGCCTCCTGCAAGGCATTCCCCCAGGCCAGGGGTCGGCAACCTTTTGAGTCGGAAGAGCCAAAATTACAATTTACAAAATTTCAAAGTTTTTAAAGAGCCACAAAATTTTTTCTTGCCAACAATAAATAGTACTCGCATAAATACAGTAGAGCGTCGTTTATCCGAATCAATTGGGGACTGGTGTGGTTCGGATAACTTATTTTTCGGATAACGAATCGTGTACGAAAAAATATATTAATTTATCCCATGTTGAAATTTCTCTCCATTGCGTGTCACTTCGCGTTGAATTTTCGTCGATGTTAAGCCTAGCGAAGACTATTGTATCGTTAAAAATTATTTTTTTCTTTTGTACAAACAAAATAAATTTATTGAAAAATATAAAAACAATAAAAAATTATACTTCAGATGTTAATTTAGTATCAAAAACGTAAAATATTTGAGTAGCCCGAGAAATAGCCGAAGATTGCAGCACCACAGCAGCGAAAATTTAAATTTGCCGACTGGAATGCTTTCTGATAACGGACGTTTCGGAAAACCAGCTTTCGGATAAACGACGCTCTACTGTAAAGTTTTTTTATAAAAAAAACTAATCTATTTATTCATAAGAAAAAATATGTATTTATCCATATATAAGTAGTGTTTTTCACAACAAATTAGATAATAGAAACATCCGACGACGGCGTCATTCGAGAGCCTCCGACGGACTGACAACAGTGACGACGCATGTCACGGGGGAGGGGTGCGGTGAAAAGTGTGTACAAGTGGCTGAGAGATAGAATCAGTGCCTAATCCTCGTTAATCGATTTAGAACGTTTTTTAAATGTTTTTTTTTGATAAAATAAATAATATTTGCGTATGGAACTAAAGAGCCGAAGCTTCACATCCAAAGAGCCGCATGTGGCTCGCGAGCCGCAGGTTGCTGACCCCTGCCCCAGGCTCTTCGCGTGTAATTTTTTATGGTTAAGCAAAATAAGCTTCAGACGGCTCTTCGGAGGATAAATGACTACGTAATAACCCCTATATTAACCCGATGCGAGAGAGAGAACCGTGTAAAAAAACACCAACTTGAAAAAAGTAATGAGCGAAGAAAACGTCTCTTCTACAAACTTGGAAGGTAACATTTTTTCCCTTCCATTGATGATTATGACGAGATAGTTAAGGCGTTAGTTTACCGTTCTGGTGAATCGGGATCGAATCCGGGTGACCAATACCAAGAATTCCTCATGGAAGTTTGTCCTGGACACTGCCCTGTTGAGCCTCTGCCAAATCCACGATCGTATGATTAAAACAAATCATTTCAGTTCCCGGAAGGCGAAAAGAGACCATAAAGGAATGAAATGCAACTTAGAAAAATAAAAATAATTTGGATTACGATTTCTGTTCCAACTTCGCATGAGGAAAAACGGACGTATTAAACAAAAACGCAAAACGTCTCGTTCATTCATCTGGATTCTATCCTGGAACTCCATAGCGGTAGTCTGACGCTTTAACAGCCTCAGCCATCCGGCTGTTTCATCATTATCTACAGAATCATAAAGGGAAGGAATATGGGAAAAGGGAAGGAATATTTTATGCCTACGATAAAATATTCTCATATTTTATTGTAGGTTTTCTTTTGCTTATCACTTTTTCAAGTTGGCATTTTTTCACACCGTGTTCAGGACTTGTTAGGGGAAAGTAGGGTAATGCGGCCAACCTGTTTTTGGCTAAACAGTTCAGAATTTTCAATCCTAACAGATGCTTGATTGCATCTAGCAGTTGAAGAGCCAACTTCGAATTTTGAATATGGTGGCTGTTCCGTGCACATGCTTGATTGTGTGAGGAAAAACAGTTTTGTGCATCTTTCTTCTAATTGGAACACTATCATTTGTTTGATTGTATGTACCCTTGTATATAACTTATTGATTCAATAATATATATTAATGCTAACTATTCGCTCAACATTTGTGATTATTGAATTAAGTGTATTGAGTATTATTGTATTGATTATTATATTTGTATTTTTGTATTGTATTATTGTATTGAGTGATTAAAGTTTTTAATTTAAAGTGCTTGAACTTATCATTAAACACACACTATTTTTAAAACAATACATATATAAAAAATATATACTGTATGAATAAAAGATTTCACTTTATCCCTTTGTGTCTAGTCAAAGTTAAAAACATAAAATGGCGTGAAAAGATAATGGGACTCAACGAGAATCAAATGATGATGAAGACGGTGACATAGATGCAAGCAATGCTAATAATACCTGCATCATCTGTGGAAAATTTGATAAAAACAATTGTGGTACAGATGATTACATTTGTGATTATTGTATTGAGTGATTAAAGTTTTTAATTTAAAGTGCTTGAACTTATCATTAAACACACACTATTTTTAAAACAATACATATATAAAAAAATTAATAATTTATATGCAAAAACTTAAGTTTTCTAGTTTTTGAACAAACATTTCTAACGTTTCAGTCTTTTTTCAACGTTTTTATATGATGGTTTCCATTACCCCATATGGTTGGGTAATGAAGCTCAATGTAATGTTTTTTTTGTTTTTTATAATTAAAACAATATGCAGAGGAATACTGAAGTTTTGACACATGCACTTTATTTCTTAGAGTACACTGTTTGCACCATTAAAATAACTTCTCACAATATTAAGTTTTCTTTATGCATAATATCTTAGGTGGGCCCCATTCAACTACTCTAAAAGTCGGCAATCCTAATCGCATCAACGCTAATTACTACAAGCCTAGATCCGAAACCACCCAATGTTTAACGGGGCACGGCAATTTTATGGCCTACCTCTACCGCTTTAAGAAGAGAAACACTAATAAATGCCGGTGCAACAATAATAGTGTAGGAGATGCCATTCATTTTATATTCCACTGTGAACGATATGAGGTTCGACGCATTCCATTTTATAGGGAATGCCTTCAAGAAAGCCATAATTGGCCACCGACACTACAAAACATTTTTGATAAGAAAAATCTCTGGAAGTGTTTTGAAAGGTTTATTGAAAGCACCAGGGCTCTTCTGCCAGACTTCTACAGGAAAGAAAAAACTCTTGAGAATGAAAACAAGAACAGACAAGATGAGCAGGAAGACAGTGAAAAATCGGAAAAGTGATGTTATCAGCGATTGATTGATCGGCCGTGTAGAATTCTTCTGTACATAGTTTAGTTGTCTAGTATTAGTTTAGTTTTAAATTCTAGATTTAAAAAAAAAATTCCCATTTATATGTATCGGGTCCTCACGACCATGTATTCTGTATTATTACATCATAGTAAGCTGATATTTACATTCTCTCTGCGTGTTAAAATTGTAACCAGTTCTTAATGTCATTGTAACATTGCAGTGTTCAAAGTTAGTTTATACCTACCCATATGTAATGGGTTTTGCATTTTACTGTAACCGGACCGTTTCTCGTAATTGTTACTATTGTATAACGGTCTTGTCAACTTTTGTAATTTTGATTAATAATAATTTCCGATACAGCGCTCTGAGGTCCTAATTGTTATATTATATGTTGTATAATGCACAAGACTGACAAAACTTAAATTATTATTTATTACTACTAAAGAGGAGACACTCGTTATGGACTGTATGACAGACGACAGACGACTTTCGTTTTTTGTTGGCCGCTATGTGTCGCCACCAGTACATATCGTAACACGCCCCTTTTTTTTGAAAATACAAACATTAACAATATATACTATGTTTACAACTTTTGTGGACTTTCATCATTCTCAGTAAACGAAAATCTGCGAGGCTTATTTATCTGCCTGCCCGAGCGGGTTGTCAGAACACAGGGTTGAGCTGAGACAGGTTCAGTTATTTTGTCATGTTCTGTTTGACTATTTGCCTGCTCAGCAGGGGCGTGCCGTGACATTTGATGATAGTGAAGCTGTGTTTCTATAAGAAGCCGACATCCAGGGGCAACCAGTTAATTCTTTCTTTAAATGTATTTTTAATAGAT